ATGGCAGGGCGGGTGTGAGGATAGATGTTACTGCTGCCGCACCGTTGCTGCCGTACGTACGTGTCTATGTTGCTTGTTGGGTGATGCTGACGGTTGAGGAGGTATGGACGGTGCGAGTAGCGGCATGTGCAGGATAGGTGTGGCACATGCAGCATGGGATCCCATGCATGTAGAGTAGTTGTCGTTGTTGCCAGTTGACAGTCCCCAGACAGATGTAAAGTGCAACATTCCAGCAGTGTGCAATGCCATGCCCTGCATGCGTCGTTTGCAATTGCAGATGTTATTCGTTACACAACAGCGCACGTGTGTACCGCAGCTAACAGTACTACTGGCGGTACATGCCGCCATTGTTAGGTGTCAGGTAATATACAGTCTGCATACTAGTTCAGCAGCAATGAGCGAGTTTGCAACGTAAACAACCAGCAGCGGAATCAGCCAACCAGCAACGGTTAACGATTTGTTCAACAACTTGATCGTTGCGAAGCAAGGTGCACTGCCATACCTCCCTTCCTCCTACCCCACCCACAGACCACGTGCACGCATGCATGCATGCATGCATGCGCATGCAGTGCCAGCAACCAACCAGTGAGATAGACGAGGCGCCACACTACTGCTGCAGGTTGCCCCATGCATCCACTCGCCCTCATAGTCGTCACCCTACCTCCGGAACCTTCCCTAACCTTCCCTCACATGCAAGCAAGCAAGCAAGCATGTACGACGCACCACCCTGTTCCTCCCCCATGCAGCCGCGCACACCACGCACCGCTACTCCTTGCTTCACCAATGAATCCTTCAGCAGGGGATGTTGATCTGCTCTCCTGCCATGATCTCATCTTCGTTGGTGATCTGCGGGTTCATGGACATCAGAGTGCCCTTATCGGTGCCCCGCGAGCGCGCGATGCCCATCAGGGTGGCGCCCTGGGGGACGGTCATGGAGCAGCCGCCCTGCAGCAGCGTGCGGACGGAGCTGGAGGGTCGGTGGGGTAAGGGGTGGGGTAAGGAAGGGGTAAGGAAGGGACGGAGGAAGCGTGAGAGGAAGGATGAGAGGAATGGAGGGCAAGGGGCGACGACGTTGGGGGTGCATGCAGCTGCCAGCGAATGACGCTCGACACGCTCGTAGAGGCGTGCAAAAGTTGAGGAATGTGCACTCGCCTTGAGCCTAATACGTGATGTGGTGTGATACACACGTCTTGAGTCTTACACGTGACCCGCTCGCAACGCTTCAACAGCCGCAACGACGTGGTATCGTTCTACGTGCGCGTCTACTGTACATGATAGGCTAGCTATCGCTACCGCTGCACAAGATTAACTTACGCCTTGAAGTCCTCGGGGCCCTCCGCCGCCCGAGCGCAGCTGGGTGCCAGCAGCAGCGAGGCAGCCAGCAGCAGGGCCAGGGCGGCCAGGCAGGGGGAGCGCTTACTGGCCATGGTCGGGTGTGAGCGTTTGAAGCAGAGGTATGTAGGGAGTGGCGCGTGGGCAACTGTTGAACGAAACTGCGCTGTTGTTGCAAGGGTAAAGCTCTATAGTAGTGCGGGATAACAACATTTTGGGAACCTGCCGACTTACTTATATAGCGGCAACGCAAGCATAAACCTTGAGAACAAGATTGAGGGATTACGGATGGGAGTTGTGTCGGCGCATGTGCAGTTCTAGTGCTCTCGATGTCATGGGATCGCCACCTTGTACCGTCCGTCTATCTCACTGTATGCCAGTACGGTACACGTGACGCCGGGATTGAGGTCATAGCGCGCGGTACCAATTGTACTGCAAGTTGCTAGAAGCGAAAGCATGCTTGCAGTACAATTGAACGCTTCACCAAGCGTTTTTGCTACTATTTGTAATAACCAGGCAGTGCCGGTTGCCAGCTGCTGAGGGTGACGCGTGTGCGAAGATATGATGAGCACCGCTCGACGGTACTGCGGTAGTTGGTTGCGGTTGAGACGGCTTGACGGGGCGCACACGGCAAGTGTCCATCCAATGACAGGAGATCCTTTTCATATATAATAATGATGCTAGTAACCATTAGGTTAGGTATGTAACGAGCAATGGGTCAAGCTGCGGCATTGAGCAACCAAATGACCCATGGGTCGGCTGGTGCAACTGCTGATGCGGTTTTGACTAATGCAAATTGATGCAGACCGACACGACGCAATAGGTAATGTTGTGGGCGTCATGCATGTCAGCATGCGTTGCTCGTTGATCATCTGATAACCCGTATTGCAGTACAAAGAGGTGACACAGGTAGTGTGTGATCTCAGTTTCAGACGCAACACGTTACATTAATCCTTAACCCATCCTCTATTTGTCCAAGTCGTGTCATGTCCAAATTTTATATCCAGACTAGAAGTTGGCAAGCAGGTACTGCAATCAGCAATTGCCGCAACTGTACTAAAGCAACATACCGGCAATAACTAGGTATTGCCGGCGCAGACAGCATACTGTTTGCCGTACATCCGCTTACGCACACACATCAGGTATGTGTGCTGCATGGATGCAAGCATGCAAGCATCGCACACAGTACGTATGCCTGCCTACGTAAGCTCGCTAGCTTCGACAGCACTAGGCAACACCGCAACAGCAATCAACACCTTCGTCAACTCAGGGCTCATGGGCCGTAACCCACCAGCCATGCACCCCATCCTTACCTACCGCAGCCGTCTGCGCATGCATGCACACCAAGTCATAGATCCTTGAAGCCCGCATGCGGATAATTAACGCCCATGTACACGCATGCAACACCTTCATCTACCCGCCACCATGCATCGCGCTCCATCATCAAGTGGCGAATGCATCTGTATCCATCGTCCTGCCCTGCCCATGTCACCCGCAACTCATCTAGCCAGCATGCAACAACCTCTGTGCGTGCCGTGCCTTCACAGCCGCCGCCCCACCGCACGCACCCCTCGTCATGCACTGCCCACGCATGCATGCATGCTAAGCATGCGGCCATGCACGCACTTAGCACGGCACGCTGATGGTCTGTCCGGCGGTTATCAGGTTGCGGTCCTAGATCTCACGCGGGTTCATGTTGACCAGCATGTCCACGGTGGTGCCGCGGGAGGCGGCGATGTCGGACAGCGTGTCGCCCTCCTGGATGGTCATGGAGCACTGACGCAATCCCCGCAGAGACCTGCATGACGGGGTGGATGGAGGTGCGACAGGCGTGCGGGCGCTTACAGAAGTGCGTGCGCTAGCTGGGTTGCTGGGCTAATAGCAAGCAACAGGCAGGGCCGCATGCCCTCCGTGTCCAAAGGGTTACGGGTAGCTAGGTGATTGGTTGGGTTAGGTAGGTAGGTGTGTTGGATGCCAGCTAGCATGATTCAGGCTGCGGGAGAGGTAGGCAGAGCGCAGAACTGGCAGCAGCAGTAGCAGGTCCGGCTAGGCTGTCGCACACATACGCGCAACACACATACAGATGTAGCACAACACAACCACGCAGCAGCCATGAATGCATGCACGAGGCACTAGCGACCACGTTATTACATCAAGGCAATCAGTTGCGGCATTATTAAAGCACGCTACGTTACGTACGGGTTGCGTCACGCCACTTACGGCCGGAGCTCCTCCGAAGTGCCAGTTGCTGCAGCCCGAGCGCAGCTGGGTGCCAGCAGCAGCGAGGCAGCCAGCAGCAGGGCCAGGGCGGCCAGGCAGGGGGAGCGCTTACTGGCCATGGTCGGGTGTGAGCGTACGTGCGTTTTGGTTCTTCGATTCTACACGATACTTGGGCACACGGAAATCAATTTCTCTTACTTGTTGTTAAGGAATGATGCTTTTGTTCATACTCGTTCGTTTCGTACGGTTGAATTGCAACGGGTGGTGCCTTGCCTTATAATACCGAGTGTTGATTACGGAAGCAGTACAGTGCAGCTTAGGCAACACGCGATGGGAACAACGTGATTGCTTTCCGGAAGCACTGTCGATCGATCGAGGTACCGATGGATTGGCATGTGAGCCTGAGACTATCTTGACGCCCTTGGGCAAGCGAACATGCACCGTACCTCCGGAAGTAACGGTAGGATGATCTTATGATGATGCGTGACGCGTGCACGACTAAACAGATCAGTGTTAGGGAAATGTACGTATTCAATGGTTTAACCATCCAGCGCGTAAGGCCTCGTAGAAGATACGGAAGAAAGAGAACGACAATGCTGTCGTCGCTTCTGCCCGAGACGAATGCAACATGCATGACCAGGGACGCGTCTTGAGGTGCAGCTGAGCGTGGGTAATATTATTCCGTAGTCACAGCACAGAACATGTGTACCATACACCTGCTAAAATGTCAAAAAAGGCGGAACGACCCATGGACCCGTGGCATACATTTTGACACATGCCGTCTTAGTTGACTGGTCGACTGGTTGACTTGGACGAATTCTTGGAAGAATCCATGTGAAGGAATGACCGTTTCTGTGATCCCAAACCGGATCCCATCATAGTGGCCTTCCTGGTTTCATACAAGGGTGTGAGGGCTTTCTGATTAGCCCTGGCTCGTACGTACACAGCTGTATGTGACGCATGCACAGCTTGACTTCAGCTAATACCTGTAACTGCTTTCTGAAGGACCTTTTCAGGAACCATGGCCAGCAGCTATGCAATTCATGTGCTGGCTTGGGGACCGGGGCAATCAAGGCGGTTGCACGGACATGCATGTACTGGACCGCTTGGGGGAGTAGGGAGAAGCCCGTCGCCGGGAGTAGGGAAAAAAGGAGAAACATGCGTGAAATGTTGGGGGGGGCAGACCGCCCGCACAGGCGTGTGCTGGCCAGGGGGAGTAGGGAGAACCCACTGGCGCGCTCCCTTATTAACAGAGACACGGATACACCCCTGTAAAAGGCGTTCATCTGCCAGGACAGGATCTGCTGAACGGAATGAGGATGATGGAAGGCGATTTGACTGGGCCCTGAGCGACAACGGACTAGCGGTCGTGCGGCGGTTGGAAATAACCTGCCGTACTTTTTGACATGCTAGGTTTTACGGTCTACAACCGTAACGACTATGGCGCAGTAGTATGCTCCATTTATGTAGCATAATATGCCGCTACACAGCGTAGCTGCCTCTGCGTGTGCGCTAAATTGATTGTTTGAATGGTCAGGGAAGCCAGCCATAGGAGCCTGCCAATTTGCCATCGTCATGATGACTGGCTACGTTTTTCGCCATATACGACGCTATCAGCGGGTCTAGGTGGCGCGGCCTAGGCATAAGCCGAAACTACCTTGGCCGAGCCGCAAGGGCGATACAGTCGGAGCAAACTATTGAAGAAGTACTTTTTAATCAGTGAAAGGCTACGCCTGCTACCAGCTGGTAGAGAAAGAAACCCCAAGCCGCAAGGCGTGTATTGTACGGTTGGGGTGCATCTGCGACATGGGCAATGTCGCTTTGCGGTACTGGTAATCACTATTACAGCTGAAGTAGAGGATTTACGGCAGTAAAAGCCTTGCTGGCCTGGCCATGAATGGCGATGCGGCGAGAACTGGGACCGTGGACCTAGCGGTCGCCATGGACAAAAGGTAATCAATTTGGGCAAATAATACAACGCGTTTTACGCAACTTGTTTTCACAAGCTACGCTTGCTTGTGGCCTGCACGTCGTCACGTTTCGCGAGCATCGCACGCAATTCATCGCGCAACCTATTAATTATTATACTGTACCCCACAGCAAACCGTCAGGACAACAACACCGCTCTGCAACTACTATACCTCGATTTACGGACGCAACAGCAGCAGCTCCTTGGGGTCCCTTGCATTCACCGCCGCTACCTACATCCCTACATGCCGCGGCTCCTGCAGCCGCACTTGCCCCACATCATCAATTAGCAGTGACAGCGGCAGGAGCAACAACGGTGACAGCAGCAGGAGGAGGAGCAAGCCCCAGGGTGCTGTCCTCATTGCGCAGCACACCACAAGGAAACACACACGCACCCTCCATCGCCACCTCTGGCCATGACATCACAACGACAACGACAACCACCCCAACCGCCACTGCAGCAAACGCTACGGGCGCCCCAGCCGCCGCCCCCATTCCTCCTGGCGTTGCGACTGCCGCCCCCGCAGCTGCCATGCCCAGCCTGCTTCTCCAGGTTTTCCAGGGTCTCATGCGGCCTGAGGTCGCGCCGCTCGCAGTGGCCGCAGCGCAACGAGCCCTGGTGACGTCACCTGTCGTACCGCCGGGGTTGTACCTCTCCGTACCGCAGACGGCGGCTGCCGCCGCTGCCGCTGCAGCAGCTGCGGCAGGTGCTAGGGCCACGGCACCTATCGGTGGCGGTCGTGGCAGCGGTGGCGGCGGTGGCAGTGGCAAGGGGTCTAAGCGGAGTGGCAGCGGCGGGGGTGCAGCTGGTGGCAGAGGAGGAGCAGCAGGGGGAGGCGGTGTCAGAGGAGGGGGAGGAGAGGAGCTGATGCCGTACCCCCTGGGGCAGTTGTACCCGGAGGCAGACGCGGTGGGTCAGTCGGTGCCGTTTCGTTGTGATGTGTGTGTATGTGTGTTCTGTGCGGATGGATGGGTGTGCATGCGGCCGCCTGGCGGTGTTTGCGGGGCAAGGAGACGGGAAGCCAACCTGGTCTTGGTTGTTTTCGCTGCTGCTGTTACTAACCTTCGAGGTCTTGCCTCCTTTTGACTACGCACACCTCCGTCGCTCCTGCTCACACCCCCGTCGCTCCTGCTCACCCCACCCCGTATGACCTCCCCAGGAGCTGACTGCCGCTTTGTTGGGTGGGGCGCCGCTGCCGCAGCGGGTGGAGGTGCGGCCCATCACCGACCGCTGCCACCCCTGCCGCCGTAACCCGTTTGCGGGGCTGTCGGCGGTTGACCACAGGATGCTGGTGGCACGAGGTGGGTGGGTAAAACTTTATATATGAACGAGGTGGGTGGGTGGGGGCGCGAAACCATACTCAAACACAGGAAACAACAGGTTAGGGCAAAGCATTGGGGATAGGAGGCGGCAGGGCGGCGGGGTGGGGTGCGGTGCTTGCAGGGCTGGACCGGGCGGGTGGGTTAACGCATGCGGCAATGCTGACGGGGGCGAGGATAGCTCCTGAGGGGCTTGTGCGAGTGTCAAAGCGTGGACACGAACCTGAACCTGAGAGCAGCTGAACCGGTCTCTAGCCCCGCACATCATCATCTTATGCCGACACGCCTACATGCGACCATGTCTACATGTAATCACGACTGCGGGTACCATCACCGGTTCCCGCCCACCCGCCCGCCACCCATTGTACCCATTGTTTTTGCCCTACCTTTGTGGTTTGGTTTATTCTACCCCCCACCCGCCCGCCCGCAGCTGACCTGCCGGAGGGGTGCCTGCTGGGGCCGTATCTGGGGGAGCTGAGGAGCGGGGCGCTGGACGATAGAGTGGTGGGTGTGTGGGTGGGTTTGGAGGCGGTACGGTGGTGCAGAGCGTCGGAGTTTTACTCCATGTACAATGATGGGGTTGGCTGAATGATGAGGGGTACTCCGTACCGGACGTACGTCTTCGTCACTATCTTCCCAACTGTTGCTTCCAATGCTTTTGGCGTTGCACCGCGCCTCCTGCCCTACCTCCTACGCGGTGCTACCTTCCCGTACCCCGCAGGTGGGCAGTGACCTCTCCGGCGTGGAGGGCCTCAAACACGCCTTCACCTTCCCCGTGCTTGATGACTTGGAGGTGACCCCAGCACCCCTGCCTGTTGTGCCCCCACTAGCACACCCGCCATCACAACAACAGCACCAGCAGCAGCCGCTGCTGCAGTCCCCTCGGAAAGATAGGCTGGTGGTGGTGGGCACTCCGGACGCCTCTCCGCTGGCGGAGATCAATGTGGCCCGATTCTGGTGCGATTGTGGGTTGGGCTGGGTCAATGGGTTGAGGTTATGTTTGTCACTGTGTTTCTTGGAATTCGGAGTTTGCGGGTTCTCGTGCTGCTGCCTGCTGCTGCCAAGTGGGGGTTCTTCGGGGGCTTTCAATGACACGGTGGGCAGTTAGGGGCAGGGAATGTCGCAGCATCAACACGCCTTTATGTGCTTTACTGTGCCCTGCTGTTGTCATCATGCACCGCACAGGGGTCCCTGTTCCCAGGTGCCATCCCCCAAAGACGCGCCTGACAACCGCTTAGACGGTAACGGTGCAGCAGGGACGCATGGCGGTTGCTGTGGCAAGGCCACTAGCAGTAGCAGCAGCAGCCGCCTTCGCAGCAGCAGCAGCACCAGCTGTAACTGCGAGGCGTATCGCCGGTGTACCGCGAATGCTGCCACGGTGCCCTGCGTGCTCAAGGTAGGCTTGGCCTGGCTGGCTGGCTGGCTGGTTGTGTTGCGTGTTGCGTTGTGCTTTTTCACCCTGCAGTCGTCGCCATGTGCCGTAACTTCATAGTCAGTTTTTGGTCGGTTGGGTCAGGTTGCGTTGCAAGAACTATACAAATGCCTTTGGGGCTGACACATGTCGCGATGTGTCGTACAAGCGCAGGTGCCGCTGTCACGTCTGCGGGCTGCGGCGATGGCTGCCGGAGACATGGAGACGCTCAAACATGGCCTGGACGTCCTCAGGACTGCTGCAGCGGCTGCCGCTGCTAGTGCTGCTGGTGTCATCAGCGGTGCCGGCGGTAGCGGGGTTGCGGTGCTGCATGGTGGAGGTGGGGGTGGAGGTGGCGGAGCAGCGGGGTTCGGAAGCTGTTGGGAGGCGGCGAAGGAGCAGCAGGGGCAGCAGGAGGAGGAGGACGCGGAGGACAGCTCGACGTACGTGTACGGTGTTGTGATGGTGTTGCTCACGTCGAGAGCTGTCCGGGTGAGGTGGTGCATGGTATGGCGTGTGGGTACTCTTCTGGGCAGTTCTGCGAAGTACGGCTTGTGTCTGCCTGGTTCCTTGTTTTCCTTGCCTGCTTACCACTGCATGCATGTGTCCTGCTTTTCCTGCCCCGTTATGCACCCTGTCCTGCGGCCAACGACACCCCTGTTCGTCCACCTGCTCCCTTCCACCCCGCTCCACCCCACCGCCGCCAACTATCCCAATGCTCTGCCCTGATGTTTGCCCTGTCGGTACCACTTGGTTTGGTTCCTCTCCGGCCACCCCGGCTGTTCCACCCACCCTGCGGCGGCTGCTGCTTCAGGCACGAGAGGAGCTGCTGCTGCGCTGCGATGAGAACGGGGATGACTTCTTCGCCGTGGCTGACCAGAACCTGCGTCAGGTGCGGTGGGGTCTGGTGGGTGGGATGGAGAGGTTGGGTGCAGAGGAAGCAACGAAACAACAGGGTGGGGGGTGAAGAGGGATGCGACGGGGGTTTTAGGGTTGAGGGTTATGACCTAGCCGAGGAACTAGGCCCCGAAACCCAGCTGGCCATGCCACGTGTGATGCCTCCCTTTCGTACGGTGTTGTTTTGCATGGTGCTTGCAGTACATGTACATTCGGAGGCTGCTGGAGGCGTGCCAGAGGGCCGAAGCAGCCGCCTCGCAAGCCGTACAGCAGCGTGACATTGCTGTACGGGAAAAGGAAGATGCCGTACGGGAGAAGGAAGACCTGGTACGGCAATGCGGCCCGGTCGCATTGGAGAAAGAGAAAACCCTCTTGCGGCAACACAGTGAGGCGTTACGGCAACTGAGCGAGGCTGTACGGGAAAAGAACGACGTCGTACGGGATCGTGATCAGGCTGTACGACAGCGGGACGAGGCTATACGACAGCGGGACGAGGCTGTACGACAACGGGACGAGGTCGGACGGCAAATGATCGACGCTGTACGGCAACGAAACGCAGCCGTACAGGAGCGCACTACAGCCATGCAGCAGCTGAAAGCGGCGGAGGAGAAGATTGCTGACGAACGTACGGCGTCTGCCTCGATCATGAAGGCTTGTAACAAGAGCATTCATGAGGCGGTATCTCGTTCCGAGCAGCTGGGGGCGGAGGCTGCAGCCCTGAGGGCAGAGAGGAGCCGGCTTGTGGCTGAGGGGGGTGCGTTGCGCTCGGAGAGGGTGAGGTTGGAGGAGGAGAACGGCAGCCTGAGGGCGCAGCTGCAGCAGCAGCAGCAGCAGCGGGAGCAGCAGCTGGAGCAGCTGGAGCAGCAGCGGGAGCAGCTGGAGCAGCAGCAGCGGGAGCAGCAGCGGGAGCAGCTGGAGCAGCAGCAGCGGGCGCAGCAGCAGCGGGCGCACCAGCAGCAGGTGCAACAGCAGCAGCGGCGGTCACGAGGGCAGGAGGGACTGCAGGGGCCGCAGCAACGGCCGCAGCACGACGTGCGAGAGCAAGGGACCAACACGGAGGCTGAGCAGTCAGGCGGGCCGCTTGCCGAGACATGTGCCGAATGCGCGCGGCGACAGCGCATGTGCAGCAGCGAGCTGGCGGCATATCGGGCCGGAGAGGCTGCGGTACGGAAGTACGGAGCGCCCCCGCCGGCCGGGAGGGGTCAGCAGCATGTGACGGTGGATGAGGACGGGGTTGAGGATCAATGTCGAGGAGGCGGCAGCGGTGGAGGCGGCAGCGGCGGAGGCGGGAGCGGTGGAGGAGGCAGCGGAGGAAACGGTCCGGAGAGCGTTCCCACTGGCGGCGAGCTGCATGGAGGAGGAGGAGGTGATGATGGTGGTGGTGCCGGGCGGAGACGAAGGCGGCAGCAACAGCAGCAGCCATCCCCAGACGGGCTACTGTCGCTGGGAGAGGATGGGCGCGGCGGAGGTGGTGGTTCCCCCGAGGCTGAGGAGCCTTTCTTGGGGCAGCAGCAGAAGCGCCATCGGAGGAACGAGAAGGGTTCGGGAGCGGACAGCGGCGGCGGTGGTGGCGGCGGCGAGGAGGCAGCTCATGCGCCCGCTGCTGCTGCTGCTCCTCATGGTCCCGCTGCTGCTGCTCGACGTCCTGACGTCGTCACCGCCGCCTCGCTTGCTGCCCTTGCTGCAGCCGAGGCAGCAAGGGCAGCGACACCACCACCACCGACAGCAGTTGCAGCGGGACCATCAGCAGCAGCGGGGCATTCAGCAGCAGCAGCAGCCCCCGCAGCAGCCGCCCCCGCAGCAGCACCAGCTGCCGACTCACATCCGCTGCATGCTGTGGTGCCGGCCAACGCGGTTACCGTTGCCACCACAGCAGCAGCACCAGCTACCACAGCTGCTGCCTCCCCAATGGAGGGCATCCAGGTCCCCGAGCAGTCCCCTCCGCAACCCTCCACAAGCAGCCCCGTGCAGCCGCCGGTAGCAGCATCGCCACCGCGGCAGCGGCCCGCCGCCGACCCGGCTACCGCCGCCGCCGTCACAGCTACCGCCGCCGCCACGCAGGACGCCCGCAGTCTCGACCGCAGCTCCCGCCTCGCCGGACATGTGCCCCTCACCCACCGCGCCCCCCCGGGTCTCGCCGGTAAGAGTGCCCTCATCATCCGCACGGACGCCCGGACTGCAGTCGCCGCCGCCGCTAGCCGCCCTCCTTGGTATCGAGGACCCCCGCCGCCGCCGCCGCCGCCGCCTGCCAACCAGCAGCGTGACGGCGGCTCTGCTGCGGCTGCCGCTGCCGCCGCCGCCGCCGCCAGTCCAATCGCTGCTGCTGCAGCAGCCGCTCCCAGCTGTGACACCACCTCCCTCTCCGCCATGCTCTTCCAGTACCAGATGGCCCGGCGGCAGGAAGACACCGTGATCGCAAGGCTGGCAGCGGCACTGGAGGAGCGCGAGCGGGAGCTAGCCGCGATGCGGGCGAGGACGGAGGAGCTGGAGAGGGTGCATGGGGAGCGGACGGAGGCGATGTTGCAGTTTGCGCGGAGCACCGGGCTGGAGAAGAAGGCGCTGGAGGAGGAGGTGCGGGAGGTCAGGAGCCAGCTGCAGGTGGCAAGGTGAGGGGCTTGCGGAGGTTTTGAGGCGGTGGGATGAGGGGGTGGTTGGAGAGAGTGGAGGGAGGGGGCAAGGAACAAGGACACTGGCCAGCGCTGCGGATCCTTGTGTGGTATACCGGTATCGCTGGGTGTTGCATGTTACCGTTACGTGTGCCGCAGGAGGTCTCCGTGCCGTTGTCCCGGGGTGAAAAGCGCTTGCGCAGCGGGTCTCCGCGGGCCAGCGGGTCTCCGGGACCCCCTCGCCTCCTATCTGGTGTCTGCCTCCTGTCTGATCCTCCTGGCAACAAAGTTCGCCCCTCTCCTCGCCCCTCTCCTCACCCCTCTCCTCGCCCCTCTCCTCACCCCTCTCCTCGCCCCTCTCCTCACCCCTCTCCCCAGGAATCGCGTAGCTCGGCTAAAGCAGCAGTTGGCAGCAGCACAAGCAGAAGCAGCAGCAGCTGCTGCAGGGGCGGCGGCGCCACCGGGACCACCTGCAGCGGGAGCGGGAGTGCAGCAGTCCCCAACAGCAGCAGCAGCAGCTGCACCAGCTGCACCAACTGCAGCAGCTGCACCAACTGCACCAACTGCAGCAGCTGCACCAACTGCACCAACTGCAGCAGCTGCACCAGCTGCACCAGCAGCAGCTGCCGCGGCGGAGGCAGCGGCGGGTGCTGGCGGTGGCGACATGCGCGATCGCACTCGCAGCATCAGCCCCCCTCAGGACGCTGTAGGGGCTGCTGGCCCCCCGAGTATGGGCACGTAGGTAGGTAGGTGGGTTGCTGCCTCTTTGCTTCCCGTGCCCTTGTCCTGCCGGTTCTGGAGAGCAGCGGCAGAGGGGTTAAGCCACCATGGCCTTTTTAAGGGAGAAGGGGCCCCTTTTCAGGAGCAACAGCGTATGAGATAGTAGCAGCAGCAGCAGCAGCCAGGGAAGCAGCGACGAATGGTCGAATGGTGTGGGACATGTTTTGATGACTTGACACCTTGACGGCCAGTAGCAGGAGAAGAGCGTGTCAGAGGAGACGGAAGTCCATGGGAAGAAAGGGAGGACAGCGGTTTGGGGAGAAGCGAGGCACGACGGTTGCGTTCATCTGGCTGTGTTGGGGGGTGGTAAGGCCTAGGAGATAGGATGCAAAGAAGTAGAGCAGGGGTATCCTTGTTGTGAGGGGACGCGTGGGTACTCGTGTGTGTGTTTTCGTCTGCTGGATGTGTGACACTGGATGGCGTGCGTAGCTAGAGCTGCAGAATTAGCCGCTATATTGCCGCTAAAAGCCTTGTTACTTTTAACAACATTTGAACACGTTGGTGACACAGAGTTGTTGCGCTGGTGGCTGCAATGTGCACTGCTACATGGGATTATCACCAGTTACGGTTGTGGATTTTCTTGACTTCTTCCTTCCGGCAGTTAATTTGATGAACCTTGGAACGGCGGTGCACGTGGAAGGGGATTTTGCCCCTAAGCAGGCCTTCGAGGAAGCAGACAACACGTGCAGCTTTTGGGGCTGATCTAATGCGTATCGCTATCATAGGACTGACACTGACCTTTGAGACAGGAGAACCTGAATGCATGTGCGTTGTGTTGTGCAACAAGGGACAGTTTGACGTTGACGTTACCAACGTTGTGTTGCAGGGTGTTTGGCGTTATACCCCGCTTCGACCCGTCGTCAATTTAGTAGTTGTACCGCACTTCACTATATACTAATATACATGCCTGTCGCTCGCTTTGGCCGTCTATACTGAACGATCCCTGAGAGGCAAGTGCTGCCTCAATCGGCAGGTCCCCATAGAGGTCCTCCAACACTTGCCCTGTACCTACCTGCCCTGATAAAGGAACATTAGCAAGCAAGGAATGAGCCCACTTGGGAGTCAATCCACCTACCCCTTGGAACACACCGCACGTCCTTTTCCCCATCTGGTGACACCTGCATGCACCTCCTCCCTTTCCTCCAACAACACTACCGCCCAGCCCCCTCGCAGCTTTCACAGACCCAACGCCCGTGACACCCCCATGCCAACGCACAAGCTAAACCCTAACAAAATGTGCCACTTGCATGCGAACCGCTTCAGCGGAGCAATGCGCTCCGGAACCGTATGATTCGCGTCCGCAAACGCAACCAACTCGGCCGCTGCGGGTCCCGCTAGCACCGTAGCGGCAGCGGCCACCCAGGGCAGCACGCCCGCCGCTGCCGCCAGCACTGCTAACCCATGCGTCGCCAGGACCGCGCCCCGGAGCACCTTGCGTCCCCGTTCCGTGCCCAGACGCACGAGAGGGGAGCGCTTTCCAGCGGCTGTGTCGCCTGCTATTTGGTGGAAGTGGCTGCAGAAGAGGATGGTTGTGGTGCTGAGTCCGACCAGGAGAGAGCAGGCCCACACAGCTGCTGGCACGCCTATGAAAAGGGACGACAATGCTGGCCCCAATCCCGCCGCGGGGGCTGTTACTGCAGCTGTAGCAGCCGCAGTAACAGCAGTCGTAGCAGTCGGCTGCAGCGCAAGGTAGAACGCGGTTGTGGCTGACGGCCCGAACGCGACGAAGCACAAGGGCTCTCCAAGGCCCTTGTACGACAGTCGGAAGGGAGGGCCCTGGTACACGTAGCCGCATGCAATGGAGAACGCCAGCAGACACATGGGTCGGAGGTCGCCGCCGGGAGCCGAGGTGATGAGGTGGCCTAACAGCGCTACGCCGGCTGCTAGGAAGGTCTTGGCTAGCAGCAGTACGGCAGTACGACGGGAGGGCCCGCCCAGGAGGTTCACCACGGACTCGGGTTTGGTGACGTCGACACCAGTTTGGGCGTCGAACGCATCGTTGCTACGGTGTAGGTGTTGTTGGTTGGAGGGAGGGGGTGGGGAAGGAAAAGGAGGCAGTGAGGAAGGGGCCATGGATGGTGAGGCTGTGAGTTGATACCGGTAAGAGGTCGTCAGTGGCCCACATAGGAAGTACGGTACGCCATTCCTTACCTGCGTAAGCCTACCCTACTTGCTGGTTTCCAGGCTCCTACCTACCCATCCAATGCAAGGCACGGCAGCACCAAGTAATGTCGGATTGCTGGGTTACTTATCCTACACGCCCGGTAGCGCAGCACGATCCTCGTGCGTCTGTGATGCCCCTGCAGCCTCATCTGCCCCTGCAGTCTCACCTGAGGTTGAGCCAGGCGATGACAAAGATGGCTGCAAGCACGAACCCCGCCGTACGGCCCCAAGGCAGCACACCGTGCGTTAGGAAGACGGCCGCTGAGGCCACCTGCAAGGGGGAGGGGAGGGGAAGCGGACGGCCAGGGTGGGCGGTGTTACACATATTAGTTAGCTGTATCCTGTGACGAGGTTTAGTGGCCTGTCTCGGCTGGGTTTGCATTGATGGCACGCCTTGGATTTCTTCCTCATAGGAAGGTTGAGCAAAGGGTCGGAAGGATTATGTGGTCAACCCGCTGCTTAATCCCCTAGTTCGGTTCTGATCCCAGGATGGGAGTTGCAAAATGGGAACCCACCAACACAGGAATGAAGCCAACGGAGTACATGGGTGGCTTAATGGCTGCCATCCAGAGCTTCTTCCTGTCCTGTTGAGGCGCCGCTGCGGCTTGCGGTTGCTGGGGAGCGGTATGGGAGTCAATTGCTGGGGCATCCACGGTTTGGACGAGCGATGCAGGAGCGAGGACCTCGGCCGTGGCTGCTTGCTCAGCAGGAACTGTTTGCTCCTCAGCAGTACCACTCATATTAGGTTGTATTTCAACGGTGAGGCTGCTTGTGCTAAAAACACGCGGCGACATCCGTGCAAGTTGCGGAATCGGGCGTGCCGACAGCCTGCTGCATTTCGCTTTTCGCTGCAGCATCAGCGCTGCCGGGGAGTGCTGGGCAGCATACTGCAGGTTCATATGTGGCACGCAATGAGAGCCGGCGAGGATTTGGCTTAAGCCAGACATGGTCTTCCGGACCAAGGGAAGTGAAAATGAGTAACGGTGCAGATAATGCTATAGTGTTGTTTTACTGTTAACTCTCGGTCTTTATGTACTGGCCTGGCTTAAGCTGCAAGCACAGCTTGGGTAGACTCTGAGATTCGAAACAGATCTCGCGTAATTCCTAACTATGGAGAAACCCACTAGCAGTTGTTCCAAGCTCTAGCTTAAAACGGAGCGGCCTCATAAGCGATCCCGATTGTGCCGTACAGCTCTCTTACTATATGGACCGACAGTTGCACAGTGCATTAGATCCTGGGTCTCAGCTTAACTCAGCACCGCTAATATCTTCAGCAACGATGCGTGCATCCAGCGGTCGGTTACTATCCCAGTAGACCTGGATGGTGACCGACCGGCTCATCGAAGCACGGAATAGGAATTTATTACGCGTTACACTCTTCCGACCGTAAAGCAGCTAATATACGGAGATAGTGATGTACGCGCTTCTTTGGCCACGGCTCCTCCGTGTCGAGCAACACCTCGATGGCCATTGCAACGGGAGATGCTCGTGAGGAGCGTACACATTTGTTTGACGTGCAATCAAAGCATAACAATCTGAACACGCGCTCTAATAACCTGATTGCCGCACGAACCGCACGTCGCTGCTTATCCAAGTTTGGCTGCTTATCCAAGTTCCTTGCCCCAAATCGAGCCCCAGATCGAGCAAATGAACGGCATATGACGCTAAAGGGCCTTTTCGCTGCACACCAAGCCACCTGTCATCCAACGTACTACGTACTGCGCTTTACGCAGTGACCATTGCAAAAGACGTAAGCCTTCTTAAGGTTAACATCACATGCATTGCGCTCCATTGATCAATCTATGCTCGCAATCATCCCGTGCCCCCACGCAGGACACTGCAACTCTTAAACGGGGGATCGTCAAAGGCGATATATATCCTCATATGTACAGGTCATGTATATATCAGTAGAGCAAGAACTGGGCAAACGGCACATACGCACGCAATGCAACGCAACGCAACATCCTTAGCCACAGCAAAACTAACTCAGGATTAAGTGCCGTACTGTCGCTACGGAAGGATTACAGGAGTCCCACTTTTGTTCGGGGCTGTCCAGGAAACGGCCACATGGTTTCTGTATCCTGCCTCTGTAACCCCTCCCATCTCCCGCTTCGGTCGCTGACCCAAAACAAGCCAACCAAGCAATTACACAAACGTGGGTTGCCTGTCCTCTCCTCTCCTGCCCCTTCCTGTGTTCTCCCCTCTCCTGGCAACCTACAGGCTGAGCTCCCCGACGCCCTAACCCCCAACCCACATAGCCCCCTCACCCGCGCCACCTACCGCCACATCCAAACCCCTAACCCCCTGCCCCCTATGACCCTCTCACCCGCGCCACCGCCGCCTGCCGCTCCTGTTCCAGTCGCCTGCCCGCTTCCCGCTGCAGCACCTCGCACCGCGCTGCCTCCCGCTCCAGCCGCCGAGCCGCCCGCGCGCACTGCGCCGCCACGTGGGCCGCATGTGCCACGTCAGTGGGGCAGGCAGGGGTGGAAGAGGCAGCAGAGCAGGTGGAGGTCTTGGTGCGTGGGGTGCTAGCACGGGCGGCGGTAGGGCGCAGGGAGCCGCTCGAACAGGGGCTGCTCATATGGGCGGCGGGGGAGGGGCCGCCGCCGATGTGGCTGTCCTGCTGACGCGCGTTGGAATCCACAGAAGTGGGAGCAGAAGGCTGTGTCGCAGCCTGACCTGCATCCTTGGTGTCGGTGTTCTTGATTATGCAGCCGGTGTATCCATGGCTGCCCATGCCAACACCGCAGCCATTGGGAACCGATGAGAAGGCAATGGTGTTGGAGGAATGGATTGATTCTCTGGGGCAGGGCGTTGACAGTCTTGACACGGCTTCCGCCTCTGGCTCTGCTGCTGTAACTACGGTTGCGGCTGTCATGTGGATGTTCATGTTTGGTGGAAGGCCTGGTTGCGCATTTCCCTTGGGCTGGGGACTTTGACTTCGGATGCTGCCTGGAAGGTGAACACTGCGGCTCTGGACAGCTAGCGCGATCTCTGGCAACTCAGCTAGGCGCGATGGCCGGGGCATAAGCGCCTTGCCGCTGCTGCCATGAGCGTTGAGGGGGATACTTGCTGGCAGCAGGGGCATGGAAGGGTCCTCGCGCTCATCAGCTACCGGAAATTCGTTTCTATTGTTGTTGTCGTTCCCGGGCTTTCGCCAAGTCCAACCCTTAGCGCTGGTCACAGTCGTCACGCTCGACAAGAGGAATTGCTGGAGCATCGCCAAGACAGCTAGCTGCTGGTCACCTTCACAGTGTGGGCTACCAAGTGAAGCGCAACTTGAATACATATTTTTCAATTCTGCTTAAGGAAAAATGCCCATTTCGCGGGGCTTCATTTGCGACAAAGTGAGATACCGGTATTAATCAATGTGGGCTTAAGTTAAGACGCATAAAGGGCCCTGTGGGATTGCCTCACGAACACCAGAGTCCGGTAGAATGCTGGGGAATTTCGCGGGAGGCAGCGCACTCTTGCACCGACTGGCCCCTAACCGTACGCAGCTCCGAAACTAGCGGGAATCAAACCGAATGCCCAAATGCCGAATCCTGCCGAAAGGGCCGATCCCCCTGAAGGTACTATCCTAGGATGTATCAGCGCTAAGTATGCTCCATCGGATTGTCTGCGCTGGTACAAGTGCATTTTGCCTTTTTGCGCTGGATGGGCACTAACCAGCGCAGGAATCTGAATACAGTTATCAGCGCGCCTACATTATCATTCCACAGGGATTTATATAACAAAATAGCTTGTCCTTAGTACTGCCCGTCAAGTATTCGCTGGTGCTGGCCATCAAACGCACCACGCCAACTATACGCACAAGACTACCGGATATATTATTTTGTTCGCATCTCCTTGAACTTATTAAAGCCAGCCCCCAGGAGGGGGTGCCAGCCAAGCTGTCAAAAGCTAACTGTCATGGCTCGCACACCAACACACAGCAGCTAGTTGGGCGCCCTCCGTCCCTACGATGGCTACTCAGGCGGAGCAACGGCCTTTTCCACCTACTGACTGGGGCTTCCTCTACTGTCTACCCAACCAGAATGCCCATGCTCTCCGCCGAGGACCTCAGTAAGGCCTGCTAAGGGACGCAACTACGAAGGCATTGGATTACACTTGATCATACTAAACCGCACGGTCTTTTGGTGCGCAGAGTTGATGCCTCGCTTGCATCAGGCACGCACCCATCTTACGTGAAAAAGGCAAGCGCTGATCCTGGGGTGTATCTTAACGCGCTATGCAGTTTTTTTCGCCGTTAAGAAGTTGACCGCGACAGCAAAGCAGAGGGCTACGGCGGTATCCTGTCCCCTACCCACCTCTGCTGCCATCCTCACATGCATCCGCCCCTCCTACCCCAACCCACATGGTAACCACATACCCCTTCTCCCCTCCAACCCACCTCCACCTCAGGCGCTAGACATCCTCACCAGCTTCCGCAACACGCGTCCCCCGCTCATCCCGCCCACCCAGTACGTCCCTCCCCCAGGAGCAGCTGCGCCCGGGTGAGCAGCGCTGGTGGGGTGATTGCATACTTGCATGGGAGACGCTGCAGGGCTTATGCTTTCCAGGGTGCTCTTAATGTTAACACGCAGACAGGAAACGTCACTACGTCTTACGTTGACCATGCGTCTCGGGTATCTGGCAGCACTGGTTTGTACTGTCCCCAGTTGTTGTGATGCTTCTGGCCGGGTGCGCTTTTGCCCATCTGGGTCGCAGGCCCATCTGGGTCGCAAGCCCATCTGGGTCGCTAGACCATCTGGGTCGCTAGCCCATCTGGGTCGCAAGCCCATCTGGGTCGCTAGACCATCTGGGTCGCTAGCCCATCTGGGTCGCTAGCCCATGTGGGTCGCAGGCCCATGTGGGTCGCTAGCCCATCTGGGTCGCTAGCCCATGTGGGTCTCATGGGAATCATGCGGGTGCATGTGCATTAGGCAGCTTAGGAATAACACATGACCTGGACATGGCTCGGATGCCTATCCGATACCTCTAGATCGTCACCTTTTGCTTTCTCTTATCGTCCGCTCTCCTTTATTTCTCTCCACTTCTTGATGCAGACCCGGTGGCGGCGGCGCACGCAGCGGTGGTGGCTCCTCAGCTCCCTGGCAGCCCTACACCGGGCCCTCCCAACAGCAACAACACAACCACACGCAACAGCAACAACAGAGACCACAGCAGCAGCAGCAGTCGCAGTACCCAAGCCAAACCCAGACCCAGGGACCACACCAGCAAGGCACGGGTGCAGGTGCGGGGGCGTACAATGGTGGCGGGCCGGGCGGTCTCCCCCCACGCCCGCCCCCCCAGACCTACCCCCTAGGGGCTGCGCCACCGCATGCACGACCCCCACCCCCACAACAACAGCAGCCGCAGCGTCTGCATGCTGGCCATGGAGGCGGTGGTGGAGCAGGAGGTGGTGAGGAGGAGGAGGATTTTGAGATGCTGGAAATTGATGTGGATGCCATTGTGGCAAATCACGCGGGCGGTGGGGCCGGCGGCGGCGGTGGCGGAGCAGCAACCTCCCACCAGCAACAGCACCAACCTCAGCAGCAGCAAGCGGCGAACGGGTATGCGTCTGGGTACAACAATTCTGGCGGCAACGGTTTTGGTAATGGTGGTGGTGGTGGAGGTGGGGGCGGGGCTGGATCAGGCGGCACCTATGGAGGAGGTGGAGGCAGTGGTAGTGGCGGCTTTGGAGGCGGAGGTGGAGGAGCGTACGGCGCCGGAGGTGGCTTCGCCGGGAATGGGAACGGCAGCGGCGGGGGCAGCTTTAACAACAATGGCGGCAACGGTTTCGGCGTCGGCGGCTTTGGCAATGGAGGAAACAACTTTGGCGGGGGTGCTGGGGCCGGCGGCAACTTCAGTAATACCACCACCAATGGAGGCAGCGGCTTCGGCGCCGGCTTTGGCGGCAGCGGCTTTGGTGGTGGCGGCAGCGGTAGCGGTACCTACTACAGTGACGACATGGGGGGTCCCCGACCCCCCGACCCCTCCCTCCGCGCCCGCGCCCCCGGAGCGCCCCCCAGCCCCACCAAGTACGATGTGCGCGACGGTACGGCAGACCGGCGGTGGCGGGGGCCCTTCCCCTGGACCGCCAAGCTGAGGTCCACCAATCTACAGGTGTTTGGAAACAAGGATTTCAGGTGGGTGGGGATTGGGGTACAAAGGGGATGAGGGTCGGGGTGCGGCTCAAGTGCTGTCCCATACACAGCCCCATAACCCTGCCCCCTTACAATGGCTTTGCCCTAACATGTGGTTTTGGTATATCTCTGGCCCCCTTACAATGCTCCCCCCTCCCCGTTGCTTTGCCCTAACCTGTGGTTTCCTATGCTTCGGTATGGTCTTTGACTCCCCCCCCACCTTGGGGTTCTTCTTTCCCCCCAGGGCCTGCGGCAGCACCACGCAAGAGGCCATCATGAACGCCACGCTGGACGGCCACGACGTGTTCGTGCTGATGCCCACGGGGGGCGGCAAGAGCCTGTGCTACCAGCTGCCGGCGCTCATGTCGGCGGACGGGGTGACGGTGGTGGTGTCGCCGCTGGTGTCGCTGATACAGGTGCGGGGGGGGGAGGGGAGGGGAAATACCGAACCATAGGAAACACAGAGAAGGGGGGAGAGGAGGAGAGGAATTGAGAGGCGGGGTGAAGTGGAGTCACTAACACCACCCGAAGAGAGGAGGGGTTGGACATCCGTGCCATGCCGGTTAGTGTACTACCACAACCCGGTGCCTCTGCCTTCCCTCCCTTTCCCCCCTTCCGCCCCCCCTCCCCTCCCACAGGACCAGATCTTCCACCTGCGCGAGGCGGGTATCGAGGCGGCCCACTTCGGGGGAAACCAGGACTGGCAGGAGGCGAGGAGCATCATGGACAGGTGGGGGCTCCGGAGGGGTGGGTGGGGGGAGGTTGGAGAGGCGGGGAGGCGGGTACAGAAGATGAAGAAAAGATGAAGGCCGGAGGGCGGTGCTTTGGGGTTGCGATGTGGTAATCTGCAGAATCGTCGCCCCCATCCCTTACCCGACAATATCCTTCCCTCTCCAACACACCTGCTTGCCTTCCCTTCCTCCCTCCCTCCCCCGCCCCCAGCATCCGCACCGGCAGCAGCCCCATCCGCCTGCTGTTCGTGACCCCGGAGAAGGTGGCCAAGAGCGACGCGCTGGTGCGGATGCTGGACGGACTGGTGGCGGGGGGGAGGCTGGATCGGGTGGTGGTGGATGAGGTGAGAGGGGGGGGAATGGGGGGGAGCGAGGATGGGAGGAGGGTGTAAGAAGAAAGTGGTAACGGGAACGATAGTGGAGGCCCGTGATGATGGCAGCAGACGATTTAAGACGGGGGAGGGGGAGGGGAGGCCTGATGAAGGAGTCGAAGGCAAAGAGCCGGGGCGTTGCATGCAGGGGTGATTTGCTTCACACACAGAGCCCTCATCGCCCTCGCCGCTCCCTCCCCTCTCACATGTCCTCTCGCCTCCTCTGCCTCTATACCTCTTCCCTCGCAGGCGCACTGCGTCAGTCAGTGGGGCCATGACTTCAGGTGCGTGCATGCGTGAGAGACCCGTGGGTCAGCTGGTGATAGCTACTGTTGTATCATGTCCCTTAACCCTCCTGTAATGCCTGTAAACTTCGGAGCGGGACATCAGGGGCAAATGACCGCCGACCCCCGGGTACTGTTTCCGATCCCAACATTTCTGCCCTCACCCCAACCCCTTTACCCCAACCCCAACCTCCTTACCCCAACGCCACCTTTCCTCTTCCCGCCCCGTTCCACCCCCTGCCTCCCGCCCCTGCCAGGCCCGACTACAAGGAGCTAGCGCTGTTCAAGAAGAAATGGCCCGCTGTGCCGCTGCTGGCCCTCACCGCCACCGCCACACCCCGGGTGCAGGTGGGGAGTTACGGGGAGGGAAAGAGAAATTTTAAAGTGTGGTGTGATAATGATGCGGGGAGGGAGGGGGGAGGGGGGGCAACAGGGGTTTAAGGGAGGGACGGGGTGCCTGCGTCACCGCCCTCCCCATCGTCGTCTCTCTCGTCGCTCTTGCTGCTGGCTGCGGTTGCAACCTTTCCTCACGCCTGCCCCCCCCCCCAGGCAGACGTGCGGCTGCAGCTGCGCATCCCCAACTGTGTGGTGTTCAAGAGCTCCTTCAACCGACCCAACCTGAGGTGAGGCCGGTGGGGTGCTGTAGTGGGAAGTGCTGAAGGGAAGGGACAAGGGAGGGGAGGGGTGAAGAGGTAGAGACTAGCCGTGTGATGGGGAGGCTTCAACTTGGGTGGGAGAGGGGCGCTCCACGTGTGTATTGGCGTCGGAAAGTGGGGTTCCTACGACTTGGCTGCTCCTCCGTTCTCCCTGCGCGCCGCCTCTCTCTACCGATCATCATATCGGTACCTTCCCAGCCCGTTGCCATAAACGCCATACAAGCAACGTACCTTCCCCCTTACCACACCCCTCCCCCCATAGGTACCAATACAACTGCTCCACTCCATTATCCCCATTGTTTTGCCCTAACCTTGGTGGTTCTGGTATACCTCTGACCCCCCTCCACCACCTCCCCCCTTCCCCTCTCCCCCCCCCAGGTACGAGGTGCTTCGCAAGTCCAGCAAGTCCATCGTGGAGGACCTGAAGACCCTGCTGCTGGCCCGCTTCGTGCACCCCGTCAAGAAGCGAGTGCTGTGCGGCATCGTGTACTGCCTGAGTCGGGGCGAGTGCGAGCGGGTGGCGGAGGAGCTGAGGAAGCTGAGGCAGCCCAATGGGCGCATGCTGAATGCGGCGTGAGTGGGGGGAGGGGCGGGGAGGGAGGGGGAAGACGTTGCAAATGACCGGTGGGGAGGGGGCCTGGGGGGCTCTGAGACGTACGTTGCCCCCCAATTCCCCGCCCTCACCGCTCCCCTCCGTCCCCCCTCCTCCCGGTTGACCCCATACACATTCCCGGTATCCCCACTCCTCCGCCCCCCTCCCCTCCAGCCACTACCACGCCAATCTGAGTCACGAAGAACGGGAGCAGGTGCAGTCCAAGTGGAGCAACGACGAGGTGCAGGTGAGGGGCAGGAGGGGTGGGAGGGAAAAGAGGAGGAGGAGGAGGAGGAATGCGGCGGGCCCTCCTACGGTTGCTTGAGGAGGTTGGGGAGGGCCACACGTTCCTGGGGAACCGCATGCTTGCAGGCACAGCTCCTTTTAACACCCTTGACATCCTAGCCCTCATGGATGTGGGGTTATCATGCGTGCCGCACTTATTCCCATGCGCCTTCGCCCTCCTCTCTCCACCTGTGCCTGCCTCTTAACCCCGCCAAACCGCTTCCCCACTCCTTCCGACCCATGGGCCAGGTCATCGTGGCCACCATCGCATTCGGCATGGGCATCAACAAGCCCGACGTGCGCTTCGTGATCCACTTCTCGCTGCCCAAGAGCCTGGAGGGGTACCACCAGGTGCGGGCTGGGGGGGGGTGTTGGTTCGGCGGGTCCAGGGAGCAACATTGCATGCATGACTGGCTTGGCTTTTCTGTTGGGGTTTGGGGGCCTTCCTGTGTTGTTCTTTCCGTCGTTGAGGCCTATGTCCACCCCGCCTGAGCACACGCGCCCCACCCCGCATGACGCGGCGACCCCCCCCTTCCCTGCATGCATGCATGCATGCGCGCAGGAGACGGGACGTGGCGGTCGTGACGGCGCTGAGGCCGCCTGCCTGCTGTACTATTCGTACAGCGATGCGCAAAAGTCACGACACATGCTCACGCAATCGGCGCAGGTGGGGACGTGGGCGGGGTGGGTTTGGGTACGCGGGCGAAGAAAAAGGGAGTAAGGCGGGGACCAGCACCATCAGCAGCAGGGACCTCGCTCCCCGCGCCAGCGGAAGCATGTCGCTGTCAAGGCTTCCTTCCACCAGGGCTTCGTCCCCTCCCTCCCCTACGCGTCCTTGCCATCCCTTCCCTATGCGCCCCTGCCCCTTCCTCCCCACCTGGCCTTGTCGCATGGCTGAGTCTTCTTCTTTACTCCTGCACCGGCCCCCCTGCCCCGCCCCTCCGTCATCAGGACCTCAAAGTGGCTCCGGAGGTGCTCCGCTGTAACATGGACTCACTCAACTCCATGGTAGGGCGGAGAAGAGGGGGAGCGGTGTGGGGAGGGTGGGAGAGCGACCCATGGGTCAGACCTAGGACGGTGAGTGCGGTCAAGCAAATACGGCCTCCCCTCGACGCCTAACGTCAAGGCGTTAGGCTAGATACTCGAGGGGGGGTGATGCATGGCGGACGGGCGCCCATGCAACCCACTTTCATGTGGCCCCAGTGCTGCATGTTCCACCAGCCGCCATAGATGGTTTTGTTTATCCCCCTTCACACTGCTTTTCGGCCTTCGCCTCCGTCACACCCCCTCCCCCCCACACCCTCCCTCACACCCCCTCCCCCACACACCCTCCCTCACACCCCCTCCCTCACACCCCCTCCCCCACATCCTCTCCCTCTCCAGATCATGTTTGCGGAGGAGCAGGTGGAGTGCCGCCGCGTGCTGCTGATGCAACACTTCGGGGAGGCGTTCGACCCCGCCAACTGCAGGGGCAGCTGCGACAACTGCAAGCAGCGCCAGGTGCGCGACGGCGGGGGTGCGTGCGAGTGCGTGCGTTTGCATGTAAGCTCGAGTGTTAAGAAAGCTGGCCGCGAGGCGGAACGCACTGTGATTGCTGGAAGCTCGAGTGTGCGTGCGACGGTGCTGAGCAACTGCAACACACATACACACCGCTCGCGGCCAGTTTTCCTACTCGCGGCCAGTTTTCTTAATACACACCGCTGGGGCTCCCTTTCCCCTGCCCGCTTCCTCCCAGCCGCACCCCACACCCTCTACGCCCCACGCCCCGCCCCGCCCCGCCCCCGCTCTCTTCAGGCCCAGGGTTTGCAGTACGAGTCGAGAGATCTGACATCCTCTGCCGTACAGCTGGTGGATCTGGTTCGGGCGGTGGGGCAGCGCTGGAGCGCCTCGCATGTGGTGGATGTGTTCCGCGGCTCGCAATCCAAGGAGGTGTGCATACGGCAGCCCGCTAGCACGGAAGAGGGAAGATGGGTGGTTAGGATAACATCAGGGGCCACCTGTTATAGTCTCAGAACTGCCCATGTCACACGGCACCCATTTTTCCCGGACGGCTACAAAACCCAGGCCGCCCGTATTTTACGGTGTCCACAACAACCACCCCTTCCTCCCATGCACATCTGCATGTGGATGGAGGGGTGGCTGCGTGATTCCCTCGGGTGGCAACACATCCCCAGGCCTGGTTGCCAGGAGTGCGGTGGGACCGTGCGGCTTGTGCGAAATGGGCGGTTTGGAGGGGAGCACACAGGGGTATCTGCTGCCCCTGTCCCTGCTCCTTTGAGGCCTACCCTGATCGTGAAGCCAGCTACCCATGCGCGGTGTTCCCCCGTCGCCACACCGACCCTGCTAGGGCTCGCAGACATTCCAGGCAATCATTTCCGCACGGTTCACATTGTTGTAGATGCAAACACGGATGCTTGGTTACCGGCATGTGCACATGCACCCTCCCCCATGCACATGCGCATGCACGTGCATTGAATGCACGCTAGGGGGGCATGGGGGCTGCCGGCAGCACGGGCGTGAGACATGTGCTACTTCTAAAGGGAGAGCGCTGGTGGGCTGAGGGCAACACCGTACATGGAAACGCACGTGTTGCCCAGGGACCGCTGACGCTCTTGCGTCAAGCTCGTCGCAGCGACGTGGCACAGTATTACCATGACCCCTTCAAACGTGCGAAACCATATAACCATTCCTGAACCTGGGCCCTTTTCCCCTCATGGCCCTTTGTACGGCAGGTCAAGGCGGCTGGTCATGCGAATCTGCCCCTGCATGGCGTTGGCAAGAGCATGACCAAGGTGCGTATACGGCCTGCTGCCGCTGGCAGGGGCTCGAACGGGCGGTGTCCCTGGGGATGTGGTTGCTTGGCTTGCAGGAGGCCAGGAGCCTCCACCCCTGTCACCCTTGCGCGTTAGTTCTAGGGTCTATCCTCCCTGCTTTTAGGGTCCCTTAAGGGTCATGTCTTACCCTGCGATAGCATGTTACGGGTGGGCCCTTCCTGCCTCTCACCCTGCTCCCCCGTTCCCGCCTCTCTGGGGGCTGCAGGCTGACGCCCAGCGGCTGTTGCGCAAGCTGCTGGCGCTGAATGTGCTGGTGGAGGAAACATTCCGACAGGTGGGGCCTTGGGGCGGGCTGGGCAGGGCCCCGGTGTATGGCTGAGGAATGCTGGGAAGATTTGGAACATGCGTTACCAGCTGTGGGGGCCAGAAGAATGCGTCCCTCGGGACAAGCCCAGTCTGCCCTGGCTGCCTTCCAGCTGCTGCTACTACAGGGCACAAACGGTACTCTTATCTATGCTGTGTAACGTTGCACCCCCGGTTACATTCTGCAGGAAAACGCCTACCAAACTGTGTCCTCCGCTATTGCGGTAAGCCCTTTACCTTTGTTGGGGGCTGGTGGGGCTGTTGTTCCGCAGCGCAGCGCAGCCCCGCTAACCCTGAGCTGCAACCTGTATTCAGCCTAGGTATTTGGTTTGGTCATGGGCGCATGGGACCCCCGTTTTGCGCCAGCAGCCGTTTGCCCCCCCTCTCCCCCACGTCCTGAGCTCCACAGCCCTGTATTGCTTACTTGTCGATGTGACGGCTGGATGAAACATGTGTATCTGCCTTTCACATAACGACAGGTGAATGAGACCATGGCGCAGCAGCTGACCCGTGGGTCGCTCAAGGTTGAGCTTATGTTTGCCGTCGGGTCCGGGCCAGGAGCCGCAGCGGGGGCTGGCAAGGGAGGCAAGGCCGCCGGCAGGAGCCGCGCAGGACGTGGCGCCGCCGCAGCTGCCGGTGCTGCGGGTACGGCAACTGGGAATGCCGGCGGCGCCGCCGGCGGCAGGAGGGCACGCGGCGGCGGCGGCGCTGCGGACGCATGGGATGCCGACTGGGGCGACGACGACGATGGCGCCGCCGGCATTGTCTACGGCAACGGGGGCGGCGGAGGCGGAGCTGAGAGCGATGTTGAGATTGTGGAGGTACGACGGAGTACCGCGCTGTGTGATTAGGAATGTCACATTGCTTTCAACCGTACCGGTAGTAATGCCGCTGCTTGTCGTACAGCAGCTGCCGGTGCATGTCGTGTCTGCATTATGTTTCCCATGTGTCCTAGCCCTCATGAGTCATGACCCTTTGAAAGCGCTCCGCCTGGTTCCTCCGCCTAACTAGCCCCTGCACCCCTTCTCCCCCCATCCTCCCTCCTCTCCAACAGAACCCAGGCGTCCGTGCCAGGCCTGCCACGGCCTTCCCTCCGCCCGCCGCCAACCTCCGGCCTCCCTCGGCCCCCACCTTCCCTGCCACAACCGTCACAACCAACAACCCCTCAACCGCCGCTAACAGCACCACCTGTCCCAGTGCCGACAACCTCACCGCTCGTGATGAGCCACTCGCGCACCTGGTGTACGACGCACTCGTACAGTTGCGCGGCTGGTTGGCACAACACAGCAATGACAGGCGCAAGAAGGGAGAGGCGATTCTGCCGGCATCGGTGCTTAACCAACTTGCCAGGTGAGGCGGTGAGGAAAGGGCGTGGTTCAGTAGAACTGGGGATACGACACATGAGGGTAGCGGTGGTTGTGGCCGCGTGTGTAGGCAATGGGGCCAGCTGGGGCGGTGTGTGTTTCGGTTGGCGATCGTGCCCGCAGCCGTGTACGACGGCTGGTGGTCGTTTGAGGGCACACATGTACCCGGGCATCAGCGCGTATACCCCACCGGCGTACAGTCTGCGTCTATTATCCTTTCGTGCTCCCCGTTCCTTCCCATTACGCCCCCCTCACCAACTCGTTCAAACCCCTGCCACCTTAACCCTCCCACCAACCCACCCCAGGGCTCGCCCTCGGCGACTAGACGAGCTCATGGCCCTCAACCTGACTGCCTTCTCCGACTTCCGGAAGAAGACCCATGGACGCAACATCATCGCTGTCATTGACATGGTAAGGGGTTTAGTTTAGGTAACAGCTAGCTAGGGGGTGTGAAGCAGCGAGAGGGTGTGACCTAAGGATCAGATGAGTCAGCAGCAAGGAGGTAGTCATCCTTCTGCTCCTCAGCTTTGTCATCGCATTCCTGGCATGCTATGCGCCAAGTCAACGTACATGCGTGTATCAGTTCGTAACGTCAACTGCAACTAACCAACATGCCGTACTCGTTACCCAATCAACTGTCATACCCTCGTACGACACGTCCTTGTCCCTATGTGTCGTACACGCAGGCCAAGCTGCAGTACATGGAGGCGGTCACTGCGGGCCAGGAGGTGGCCAACATGTCGTTTGTGCTGTTGGAGGACAAGCTGCACCGCAGCACGGGGGGCGAGGGAGCGGAGGGGCCCGAGGGAGGAGGAGGAGGAGGAGGAGCCGGCGCGGAGGGTAAGGCTGCTGTAGGCTTCCCCAGGTCCCGGCAGCATGGGGCAGTGGCATGGGTACAGTAGAAGATGGCTGCGGAAGAAAGACGGGGTGGAAAGAGCTGGCGCAGGGGCGGCATCCCCGTGCTTACCTCCCTCTCCTATCCCTACTCTCGACGATTTGCATCCATTGCATGTGTTTTCGGATTCACCTGGCCCCATTTGTGTGTGCGCTTATGTGTCCTCGCCTTCCCTCCCCTTCACCCAGGCGGTGACGGCAGCATGACTCCGGGGCCTGCTGCGGGGGGCCCAGCAGGCGGCAAGCGGGGTCGGGAGCAGCAGCAGCCGCAGTCGCTCGCAGATGCGATGCGGATCGGCGGTGTGGTAGATGTGGAGTTGGGTGGAGTGGTGCCGGCGGTGCAGCCGGCCAGGGGGGCTGCGGGTGGCGCTGCTGGTGCTGGTGCTGGTGCTGCATGCAAGCGGCAAAACACAGCGCCGGCCTTGTCAGCTGGCGTAGGCGGAGGCGGAGGTAATAGCTTTGAGGGTTTCCGTTGTGGTTCGACACCTCCTCAGCAGCTGCAGTCGCGGCAGCAACAGCAACAACAACAACAACATTACGCACAGCAACCGTACCAGCCGCCGCCGCCGCAGCAGCCTCCTGGGGGATTGCCGCCTCGGGCTCCACCCTACCAGCAACATCAACAGCAGCAACAGTATCCTCAACAGCAGCAGCAGCAACAACAACAATGGCAGCCGTACGGACCACCACCGCCGGGGCAGCAGCAGCAGCCGCGCGACAACAATGCGTCATACGCTCCTCCCCCTGCATGGAACGGCGGTGGTGGCGGCAGCAGTGGCAGCGGCGGAGGGGGAGGGTGGCTGGGAGGTCCGACGGCACGTGGGTTAGTGGGCGGTGGTGGTGGAGGAGGAGGAGGAGCAGCTGATGGCGGGTATGGATGGTCCAATGCTTCTGGCGGTGGCGGCGGCGGTGGAAATAACGGCGGCTGGCCTCCCTCCAGTGGTGGTGGTGGTGGCGGGCCGCAGGAAAGGGCAGCGGGGGCAGGGACAGCAGGCGGCTGGCAGCAACCGCGGCAACATGGCTCGACACAGCAGGTTTCCATGAGTCAGGGAGGCGGCGGGGCTGGCGGACCTGGCAGGGGTGCGGGTGCGGGTGGGGGTGGGAGCCGCCTGTCGCTGGCGAAGAGGACGCTACCGACAGGGGGTACGGCGGGGGGTACGGCAGGGCGGGGTGGCCCGGCAGGTGAGGGAGGACTGGGGCAGGGGCAGCAGGTAGGGGTGGGGGCGGGTGGTGGAGGTGGAGGTAGCGCGGCAGCAGGCGGCAGCGGTGGTGGTGGTGACGTGGAGGAGTTTGTGAGTTTCAGGCGGTAGTGGTACGAAGGCTTTGTGGCTTGGTGTTTCGGTTGGAAGGACTGTTGTGGGCTGGAAGCAATGTGTGTGCGCGTTTGGGTGACGAGGCCGTTAAGTGCTGCATGCATGCCGATACTGCAAGGAATGTGCATGGATTCAACAACGTTTCGGGAAATGGGGGTTGGGTAATATGGGGACGACCGAATGACAGAGTGCCAGCTGCCAGGTTATGTGGATTGTACGGAAGTCCTAATCTGTGGATAGCTTTTCGTAATATGACGGGTGCCATCAGTCAGGTTGGCAGGTTGCGGAAATCAGTTGTGACCTGGGGGAGCAACGCACCGTGCAAACAGGCCCGCCAGGTATGGTGTCGGCAACACGTCTTACTGTTCACGACATGTTGCAACCGCTGCAGGGATGTAAACGTCAAGCGCCAAACGAAGGAAAGGGCGTCAGTGGGCAACTAAATTATGTTAACTGAAAGCCTAGCTTGTGATGGCTCCTTACGCATGCGAAATCTGCAGATTTCGAAGGCACGCCTTTAACGTTTCGCCCGCAGGGGACTGGTGTACGACAACAAAACCTGGGGCTCCAGAACCGCTCTGGAAGGGTTGCAGCGAAGGACGCAGGAACAACCGCGATGTACGCTCTGACATTAGCTGTAAAAGCGTATGAAAAAAGCTATGTAAATAAAGGCTCCTTCGCGTCGGGCGACGTTCAGACTTCTGGGCCGAGCTTCGGACGTGAAAGCGTCAAAGCTAAGGCTGCAATGTACTAGCTTATAGTTACTGGTAATGGACAAAAGCGGTGTAGGTGAAAAGCGTCTGCCGCAAGCGCAAAGGGGCGACGAATTCTAATTGCCCTGTCAGAGACGTTCTGTAAGCGCGTGAAGCGCTCGGATGCATTAAACTAAAATTTAACATTTTGAGCATGTTTCCTTGAAGAGGACGGCGATGGCCTGTCACTTGAGTAGTGCAAGTGTTCTGCATTTCCTTGCCAAACTCATACTCGCCGCCTGCAATGCTTGCTAACGCGTTACCAGGATGATATAGAAGCAGAGCGGTGAGCCCAGGTGTGCACGTGCGGGCTGCACATGCGCAAAGCAGCTTCACGAACATGAAGGTCAGCACGTGCCCCGGCAAAACCCGCGAGCGGCAGTGCAAGTCGTGTCACGCCCGATCCCAGCGTCCCCACCTTGCCCAGCAAACATCCATGTCTTCCCTGGCCTGCCAAGTACTGACGCTCATGTGGGCATGCGCCAGCCTGCCCAACCAATACACACAGCACTCCCGCCCTGCCCAAAGCCCATAATAACAGACATGCCCCCCTTTGACGTGCTGCATCCCGCCATCACTGTTTTACAAGCCAACCGCATGTGGTGGCTTGAGTGACGTACGCGAGCAAGGAGCACAGATGCCGCATGCCACAGGCAGCTCCATGAACGGGCAGGTCAGCAGGTGGCCTAGCAAGCGGGGGCCCTGACTCTCTCTCCCAGTACGGCTTCCAAACGCGCAGGCATTCTGCCCACACCACAGCGCCCATGAGTGCTGCCTCCCCCTCTCTACCCAACCTCTGGCGTGCATGCATCTCCACCCTGCTGGAGTACATACACCCATGCATGCAGCGTTCCCCGCTGTGCCTGACAGCTGGCGCCCATACATACCCCCATGCACGCAGGCAATCAATGCACCTACCCTGCCGGGATCGGGAAGGGGTGCAGTGTATCTCGGGATGGTGCATGCTACGGCAGCGCACACATCACCACCCTGTTCACTGGCCCCCGTGCATGCAACGCATTCACCCTGCATCCAGGCATCCCTGCTGAGTGCATCCCCGCCTGTGCCCAAACTGTGAAAGCGCTCATGGATGCAGGCATCACAGTGGTTTCCGAAGACTCGAGCCCATGCGTGCCAGAAGGTGCATGCTGACATCCCCCCTGCCCAAATGCTGTGCGCCTGCATCCTCGTGCGTGCTCAAGCTGCCAAGGGGCTAGCTTTCATTCGTGGAGGAACCTCTATACTTTATAAATACGGGTGTCCATGTGTGGCATCTACGCCGTGCCCGAGCTCAGCACCCTAGCGTGCAAGCGTCCCTTCTCCCCAACTCACAGCGCTCATGCCTGCAGGGCAATCTCCACTTTGCACGCCACCAAGCACGTGTGCAGGCAGGCATCCCCGTCGTGCCCTGCTGTTCGTGCAGGCTACCCAACCCTTCCTTAACGGCCGAAACCCATACATACGTGTAGGCAACTACCGGTACAAAGTACCCATGCGTGCCGGCATGCTCGCACAGTTCAAGGCTTGCCAATACGACGATTGCCGCAATCACAAGTTGAGTGCAGCAAGAACAAGCAAAAAGACAGCATCGCGTGACCGCATACGTATGCGCGTAAGCAACACAGATGTGGCATGCCGAAGGCATCCCATGAATGGGCATATCAACAGGTACCCTAGCAAGACGGACCCCTGACGCTCTCCCACTACGGCTCCCATACGCACAGGTATCCTGCCCATGCCACAGCGCCCACGCGTGCTGGCTCCCTGCTCTTCCCAACCACTGGCTTGCATGCATCTCCACCTTGTATGGGCTGCAGTATGTACACCCGTGCGTGCAGCCTTCCCCGCTTTGTCTGACAGCTGGGCCCATGTACCGGTATGCAGACATCCCTGCACCCCCATGCACGCAGGCAAGCAAGTATGCGGAGTGCCCCGTCCTGCCATAGTTATCCTGGCACCCATGCAAGCATGCATCCCTGCCCCTAAAACCCTAAAATGGTGTTCGTGCGGCCCCAACCCACGGTATCAGCGCCCGTGTGCGCACACATCACCGCCCTGCTCACTGGCCCCTGAATACACAGCATGCGCACCCTTCCTAGACGCCACCGGGACGGTGTCCCCACACTGGCCAACTGCGAATGCGCTTGCATGCAGGCAATCCCACCCTGCCCGAGCTCAGGCGTCACGAGCGAGAGTAAGCGGCAGGCCTGCATCATCAACAGCCCGTTGTTCCTGCACTCCCCTTGCACATGCTGCCACCATTCACGTCAACTGCAATCTCTTCCACCCATACATGCACACATCACCGCTGTGCCTCACTGCTGGCTCCCACACATGCAGGCATTCCCACACCCATGCACCCCAGCCGGGGTCGGGGGGGGGGCAGTATACCTCGCCCAGGCGGGGCGGTGTGTGATACAGCTGAAGCGGGATGCAATGTATCTCGCCCAGCCGGGGCGCTTCGCAGCCATGCAACAAGGCATTTTTAGGCGGAGCCCCCGTCGTGGTGCCCCCTTCGCGGTGCCCCCGTCGCGAACAGGCTTCGGGGGGGCGATGCCCACGTCCGTGTGTCCGTCCGTCCGTCCGAGTGTCAGGAACGGCAAAATACACAAACAGAACAAACCTAATTCATCTTCCTTGCCTGCACATCATCGGGCATCGGGCCTTTGTTTGACTCATCCATTTATCTTTCACTGTCCTGCTTTCGCAAATTTATGCCATGCGTGCCCAGCAGACGCCCATGTGGGCATGCGCCAGCCTGCCCAACCAATACACACAGCATCCCCGCCCAGCCCAAAGCCCATAACAGGCATGCAGGCATCCATGCTGTGCGCGTGCGTCCCCATGCGTGCTTGAGCTGCCAAGTGCAGGCATCATCGCCTCCCTTTGACCTGCTGCATCCCGCCATCACTGCTTTACAAGCCAACCGCATGTGGTGAATTGAGGTGACGTACGCAGACGTACGCGAGCAAGGAGCACAGGTGCCGCATGCCACAGGCAGCTCCATGAACGGGCAGGTCAGCAGGTGGCCTAGCAAGCGGGTGCCCTGACCCTGACTCTCTCTCCCATTACGGCTTTCAAACGCGCAGGCATTCTGCCCACACCACAGCGTCCATGCGTGCTGCCTCCCCCTCTCTACCCAACCACTGGCGTGCATGCATCTCCACCCTGCTGGAGTACGTACACCCATGCATGCAGCGTTCCCCG